TAATAAGCTGTGAATATTGGCACCTTGGTTTGATTGGCATTACAGACTATCCCATCTTAATTTCTTGTCATCTTTCCTCACCAGTATGATATCTGCCTTTCTTGCCAGACCACTTAGCATCTCAGTTGCACTGCTAAGAGCAGAATTAAGTGGCAGACACATCAAGGGGCTAACAACTGGTGCCCTTAGAAGCCACAGAAAGATGGTCATGACAAAGCAGGATGATAAAGACGATGAAGAGGAGACATTCAATGCAACAAAAGTAATCCAGTATTTTTTTTTTTTTTAACTAGCTACTTAGGAATTCCTTTTTCAAGCATTTGGTCAACTCTCAATAATCACAGTGGGTAGACTACCTACACTGTGAGCTCTGCCTGGGCAATTATTTACTCTCAGGCTAAATGTTCTATCCTGCCTCTCAATTTCCAGGAACATTCATCAGCTGATCATATCTGAGTATTTCCTTTCTGTTCCTTTCATGTACAAGTAGCTGCAAGCAGATAGCAGACCAGAAGGATAAAAAAAGTGAGCTGAGCATAGCACGGATGACAGTCAGAAAAGATAAGAAGAGAGCCCACCAAGATGCCTATCCGGGCCCCGGCTCATAGTAGGCACACAGCAAACATTTGTTGAATTCAGTAAATGGAGTTATTAGCAAGTTAAATTGGAAGACTTTTCAGGCCTCTTCCCACTCTGATAGTCCATGATTCCTCAGAAGAAGATGACAGGAAGTGTGGAGAAGAGCCTGGAGATGGGTGCTCAGACCCATCAGGAACACAAAAGAGAAGTTGGAAAGGGCTTACTTCAAGTCAAGATGGATCCCAAAAGAGTTACTAGGACTGTTCCAAACTGTCACAGTCCAGGATGATCCTTGGTCCCAGATGATGCCGCTAAATTCCCACCCAGAGTCCAAAGAGACTGGAAAGCAGTTCTCTTAAGATTTCAGATGTAGACACCATCTGAAGTGAAATTCCAGGCCCTAACTTATTTAGGGAGCCTGAGAAAGGAAGTGTATGTTGGTGGGGGTGATAATACTGTTTTGAGGTCCTAGATTTTATGACGTGTTTTTTCCCCACTATCACAGAAACACAGAATTCAGGATGAGAAAGCCTCTTAGAAATTATCCAATCCAGCCTCCAGTCCAATGGAAGAATTCTTCCTACAGCCTCCCTAACAGAAGGTCACCCCGTCTCCACTGAAAGGAAGCCCACTTTCTCCAAAGGCAGCAGCAAGATTGCTGGACAGCTCCCACGTGGGCAGATTCGAGTCCTAATCTCTAACCATGCCTGCTCCCTCTCCTTTGGGGCAGCTGTCCTGACGCCGGAAGTCAGGAACCACTTTTCTTCCATTTTCATTCCTGCCAGAAAACATCCTTCAATCCTTCAACTGCAGAGACACAGTTTGTAGATCCCCCAATGTGCTGCTCCCCTGACATTATTCTAAGGGCTCGATGTCGTTCTTAAAATGGACTGGCAGAATTCAGTGTTGCAGAGTTGAATGCAGTGGTCCAGAAGTGGCCTAGCTTTCACAGAGGATAGTGGGACCATTTCTTCCCATTCATTTCTAAATTTTCACAACCATGTGTTTGATCATCTATTCTAGAATGGTGCCAGAATTGGCCTCAAGATGACTGGTTCCTTAGATTCTGGGATCTTCTTTCATCACTTACTGGTCCTTACTGGCCTGTCTTCTGCTGGCCAGCTCATCTCTTCTGCTATCAGCACAGTGATACAGTGTACTGCCTTTTATGGCTACTGGTTTGCACTGGGTAGGGAAATACCCAAGTTTTACCTAACTTTATCAAAATGTCTGTTCCTGCTCACCATGAATGCTCAGTCTACCTGGCATGTAGAGGCTCTAAATATTTGTTAAATAAATAAAGAATGAATAAATGCATGAATATATGAATGCCAAATATCACCTACAGATGATTGTACCAGTTTATAGGGCACACTCCACCCCGACAGGAGCCTGTCTTTTAGCCTCCTGAAGCCAGGACCCAGAATAGATCATTTCTTCTCATCAGTATCATCGACCTAATCTAGCTATTCATTTTCATAGTTTCCCTTCTTTCCCAAAGCCATGGCTAAGCAGAAGAGTGGCAAACACCATCTGACCTGCAAAGTTCTTCGGTTTCTCTCTCCAGACTTCACTGTCTTTGGAACAATTCTGTTCCAGATTTTGTTTCCAATAGTAGTCTTGTGTGAACTTGAGGCCAACAGAATTAAGAAGTAATGGGTGGGCATGATTAGTTGGTAAAGCCTGCAACCTGCCAAGTGCTCACACTCCTGGTAAACAAAGACCCTCGAGACAGAGGCAGCAGGTCTCCAAGAATAATTCTTCCCACTTAAGGTGGCAACAGGATACTTGCCTCCCACCGGCCAGAACCTGTGAAGAATTTTTTTTTTTTTTTTTTTTTTTTTTTGCTCTCAGGGGCACAGGATGCAATGCCTGGGACCACCCTCTAAGAAGCAGAGAGCTTGCATCCAGTACATTCCTTCAATGATAATGAATTATTTCTTCTTTTCTGTGACCTTCCTCTCAGGCCCTTGTGGGTTTCATTCCCCTTCACCCCCTCCTTTTTAATTGCTGCCAATCTATTTTGTCCCATCTTTGCTTAACAAATCAGAATGAAGGAAAGTGTTCTTCTAATTCTTTTACCTTCTACTCTTTAGAAGGTAAGTGTGCATTAGCTGCAGGGATGTGATAAACATACCAGAAAGAAAAAAAAATGTACCCCTCATGTCTCCTGGGACCCCAATTTCTTCTGACTCTAAAGGAACTGAGAGTTCATCATGGGTCCCCATGAAAACTTCTCTTGTAAATTGCTTTAGAAAATGCCTGGTTTTATGCTTGTTAGTAGTATACTTGGGAAAGGTACTTTTAAAACTGCTTAGCCCCTAGATAACTAAATTGCTAAATTACCTACATCAATCATGGGTGATTTAGTCCATCTCCTTGCCTCTGAGACAGAAGGGAATATTTCTTCTGTACAAAGACCTCCAGGAAAAAAAAAAAGTATTCTCTTCTATTCTTCATCCAAAGACTTCTGCTCTCAAAGTTTAGTTCTTATTTGGATATAACCTGAATCCCTTTCATTGGAACTTAAGACCTTTTATCTCTTTTCTGACCCCCAGCAGATATCATAAAGAATAAAAAGAGAGACACTATTTGACATCTGTTTGTGCACAGCCTTCTGCGGGGGGTCTTCAAGGCTCCCCATTCTAGTCAATATCCTCCCAAGCCCCAAATGACTGTCTTAAATCCCCTGTACCACCTGCCCATCACTGTCTACCAATCCCTTTACATTTGTCTCCCTCGTAGCACTTTTAAATGTAGTGCTTGCCTCATTGGACACCTGCTTCAAGAACCTAATCAGCACTTTCTTTTTTTAAAGATTTTAATTATTTATTTGAGAGAGAGAGAGCAAGTGAGAGAGAACACAAGCAGGGAGCGGGGGAAGGCAGATGGAAAAGCAGACTCCCTGCTGAGCAGGGAGCCTGATGCGGGGCTCAATCCCAGGACCCTGAGATCATGACCTGAGCTGAAGGCAGACGCTTAACTAACTGAGCCACCCAGGCATCCGTAATCAGCACTTTCAACAATTATCCAAGGTCTCCCAGCAGAGGCGGGGCTGTATATGGAGCGCCTCTCTGTAATTACTAATTCTCCTATAAAATGCACAGAGACAAGAAGAAGATTCCAAAAGCCCAAGGCACCACTTCTTATTTGCCACGACAAACACTTGCCAGGCTCCAGCTCCACTAAGTGGCAGAGAACAGAAATCTCCCTGGCCAAGGGCAAGGATGGGAGAGTCCTGGGGCAGGAGTCAGGAGGGCAGAGTTGTAGGCCAGCCACTGCCTGCTCACTGTCCTGTGAGCAGCTCTCATCCCCACTAACCCTGATTCCTAAGCAGAACACAACACGTAGCTGCCGAGACTGCTTTTCAGGGCTCTCTCGGCTCTCACATGCTGGGATCTCTGAGTCTACAAAGGCCTCTCCTCTCCCTTCTTAGAAGATACAGGTCATGGCCTTGACATGTCTCTCTCCACCACCAACATGACCAGTACTACCTGGAAACGCTCAGAAACCAATGTTTCTCAACCTGTTAAAATTATCATCATTCCCTGCCCTAAATGAGCTTTTTAATGCTTTTTTTCTTTAATTGCCCCACCCAATGAAATTTTTAAAAAATATTTTTATTTATTTATTTTAGAGAGAGAGCATGTGAGCAGGGAGAGGGGCAGAGCGGGGAGAGAGAGAGAGAGAAAGAATCCGACGCCGACTCCCCACTGAGCATGGGCCCAATGCGGGGCTCGATTCCAGGACCCTGAGATCATCACCTGAGCTGAAACAGTCAGATGCTCAACTGACTGAGCCACACAGGCACCCCCAAGTGACGAAATTTTAATACCATGAATATACTGCACACCTTTTTAGGTGCAGTATGTATATCTGTGCTTAATACATAAAAAAAGCAAGCTTTTCACTAGGCCCCCCCCCCCAACCAATTTTCAACCCCCTTGGAGGCAATATTAACCCTGCTGAAAATGTGTGACAGCGACTGAGCTGAGGGTTGCATCTAGCTGTGTGATACAAGTGCAGTTATTCGCCCCAAACCCCAAACCCCAAAAGCCATAAACACATTCACAAGCCAGAGGTTTTGAAAATAATCCATTGCACAAGCCAGAGTGGAATCAGCCAGACTTTCCACTTCGCAACTTCCCACCCTCCTCCCCAGGCCATAGTTTCTCCTGCTCCAGCCCCTGTCCTTGTTCTCACCTCCGCCCAGGGCTCCCACTCCATTCATATGGGTCCCAGCAGTAACAATGGGAATGATGAGAACAAGGTGAACTGTGGGTGATGTTCCAGGAATAATTAGAATCCACTTCAAGGGCAGAAACAACTGGGCCCCTGGCAGGATGGAGCCTCATTCCAACTCACTTGCCTCAGTCCAGCTCCTCACTCCCTCCCCTGCAGGACATTCCCCTCCACCTTACCTTGGCACACTGGCCAAATAGGTCACGAGTTTCCGCAGGTCTTCCTGTCTTATTCTGTCATGATTGCTCCGAGCTGGAAAAGTCAGGATGGGTCCGCCTCGCTTATCACGGCCCCCTGCAGGGAGGAAAAGGAGGGCTGTTAAGAAAACCAGCCAGACGGGGCGCCTGGGTGGCTCAGTCGGTTGAGCGACTGCCTTCGGCTCAGGTCATGATCCTGGAGTCCGGGGATCTAGTGCCGCATCGGGCTCCCTGCTCGGCGGGGAGTCCGGCGGGGAGTCTGCTTCTCCCTCTGACCCTCCTCCCTCTCGTGCTCTCTGTCTCTCATTCTCTCTCGCAAATAAATAAAATCTTTAAAAAAAAAGAGAGAAAGAAAAGAAAAGAAAACCAGCCAGAAAGTGCGCTGAAAGTCCATCTGAGTGCTGGAGGAAACAGGCAGAAATATGGCGCCCAGAGAAATGCTGTCACTGGTTAGGTGAAGGGCATGGGGTTTGGATGTGGTTCACATGTGTGACCTTGGGCAAGTCTTTTGACTTCTCTAATATCTCACTGCCAAGTGCAGATGAAAATACTGATGAGCATTTTACTGGGTGGCCGCCAGGACTGAGGAGCTGGCAAATGGGGAAGCACTTTGAAAAGTAAAGCTCTCTACAAATGCGAGATGATAATGAAGGTGATGTTCTCTTTTTGAGAACACAAGCTATTGAACGGTCTATGGTCTTTGGAAATTTAACCTTCAATTGACTTCTCTTTGCAGACCTCTGTGAGGTAGAAGGGCTCAGGATTAACTGACTACCATGCAGAGAAACCCTTAAAGCATCCATCCAGGACATCACTGCTGGAAGGTGTTTAGATTCATAGAAAAGATGTTAAGTGTTCTCTGCACAGCCGAAGATCCACCCCTGCCTGTCTGCCTGCCTGAGGTGCCACCTGTCACTCCTGCTGGAGGAGCACAGGAATCTTTATCAGGAACAAGGATGCTCAAGGTCTGAATCACTGCAAATGCATATGTACACACTATGATTATAAATGTTTTCTAAATATCATATTAAAAAAAGCAGGAAGGAGTACAGTGAAATGATGAACATTGTTGCTATTAGAAGGCTGGGATTTGACATGGTTGCTTTTTCTTTCCTCTTTTTTCCTAAACTTTCCATTCACTATTTATTCTATCATTTAAAAATTTATCCTTTAATGGGCACTATTAGGAAGCAGGACCAAGTTTCTCAGGAGGGTCACAGGGGACAAAGCTAAGGTATGTCCTTACAGGCACTGGTTATTGCAAAAGAAAACCTCTATGTCATGATCACAGACCCCTGCACACATCCCAGGCAGCTGCCCAACATCCTCCAGGGTGGGGACCACAATACAAGAAGGAGGAAGCATTGGCATGGCCATCGCCAATACTGGAAAAGAAGCTTAAGGCTCAGCGCTCTGAAGAAGGAGCTCTCGCAAGGACACACAGAGCCTCCCAGGGTCCCCACCCAAGTCTGAGCTCATGAATAATGTTTCCCTCTGACTGTGGGGTCCAGAAGCCATACAGACAGAAGGGAAGCTCGACAGACAAAATCCAAACCATTCCAGGATACTCCTGAGGAGGAAATAAGAAGACTGCATAGAGAAAAGGATCAAACAAGATCAGGGCCACTGAGAGATCTGCCCTGACTAAAAAAGATGTTTCAGCAGCACCACCACCACCCCCAGCCCTACACCGGAGCAGATTTGTGTAGATATACCACACAGTTGGACCCAAGCCCCCAGCTCCAGATCTTCCATACCACAGGCCTGGCTCTTTGTATGAATAGCCACCCCCAACTTGTCTGCTTTGGAAATGATCCCCATTTCCCAACTGCCTTCCACATGAGGAAAAGGAAGCAGAAGGATTAGATGGTAGTCTCCCATACCCTCAACCTTCCTCTCTAGCCTTAACCCACCCTAAGGATTTTCACTCTTGGATGGTTTTAACTGCAGTTGCTGCCTTTATTCCTGACCGTCCACGGACACAGTAGAGCCATGAGAACATGGGGAGCCAAGGCTGGTCTGATTGGCAAAGACTCACTAAGGAGTCTGGAGGACTGTTGGCACTGTACTTCCTGAGCTAGAGCCAGTTCTGCCCTTGGAAAGAAGAGTTTCATAAATATGCTGGGGAAGGTTCCAGATGGCAGAGGAGGAAGAAGGGGAGAAAGCCTGGGGCAGTGCAGCAACCCCCCTTTCAGGAAGCAAGGATAAAGATTTGAGAGGGGGCAGTAGGATCAGCCAGGTGTTTTTCAGAAAGGAGATGACCTTGTAAGAATATAAGAATGTAGGAAGCAGAGCAGGAAGGAGTATAGAGAAAGAGAGTCATTGTGCTGGAAAGAGTGGGACGATAGGTAGAAAGAGGCCTCAGAGCGGGTGCAAGGGGAGGGGTCCTGCCCCCTTCTCTGAAGCAGCCTGACAGAACTCAAAGAGGGAGGAGGAAACAGATAAATCAAGGAGAGGGAGGAATTCAGCCTGCCTGGGGGACCTTGTTCTTTAAGTGAAATTGCAGACTAGCCCACCTAACAAGTCAGGATAGGCTTGAGGTACTGGGAGAAAGGGGAGCAGACTATCACTGGCCAGGATCCCTACAGAATGAACAGCAGGACTGTGTATGATGTGGGCTAAAAGAGATGAAGCAGGGAACTGGGGCATGGTGAGAGTTCTGTTGGAAGGTCTAGCCATGGTGTCCATGTTAGGTTCTAACTTGAGTGGAGGCAGAATAAAGCTAGTGCATGCATAAGTGGGGAGGGCCCACTGAAGGTAGGAAATGTCCTGCTGGATCATGAGTCCCCTGGGAAGAGGGGACAGCAGATGCTTTGCTCATCTGATAGCCATCCTTTCCCAATTTATAGGGGAACATCAGAAAGGGTCAAAGGTAAGAGAATGAGGCCACAGACACACATATCAAAGTTAAGGTCTTGGATATGCATGGCCAAGGTAAGGAGGTAGAAAACTTTGGTACCAAGAAGGCTGAGCAGCCATGAAGGTGTAGGAGTTGATGGATAATTGACATGGGTGCTGAAATTACGGAGGGTGATAAGCAGAGATGAAGAATGAGAACCCCCTGCTGGAGTCAGTGTGTATTACAGAGGTGGATCTGAGAGGGTTCGAGACAAAAGTAGCCGAGTTCTGAAAAGGCGATACAGATGCTGGCAGGGTCCTCAAGAGTCATTCCTTTACGCATTACGTTCCTGCTGTGGGCCCATGTGTGCAAGGCTTTGGTGGCAGGAGCTACAGGACAGAGATAAAAAGGAAGGAGGAAGGGATGGTCTGATGTTCTAGAAGGCACAGAGGCAGGGCAGGACAGGGTTGGGGAAGAGGCAAAGCCAAAAGCAGGGGCAGTGAAAGCTTCCCTGATTGAGCCAAAGGGGGAATGGTGCTCAAAATTTTCAGGGGGCTCCAGTTAGGGCAACTGGGAAAGATAGAGAGTTGGGGGGGTGGGAACAAGAAAAATACATTGATGGAATTGTACCAAAAGTTATACCAAATAGTTCTGAGAGATGTTAATGGATACACATGATTTTTTTCAAGGTAATGAGGTCACTCTGTAGTTTGGGAGACAGTTTCATGTATTTAATGGACATGTGCTTTAATGAACATGGCACATCTTCATGAGGCAGCTATAATATGCATTTCCCAAACTTAGGATTGTAGAACCCCTTTTTCTTTTTTGAGGCTCATCTGGCAGGACTGCTGTTCTATGGAATACGCTTTGAGAGACATGGGTCCAGGGTCTGAGATTGTGCCACAGCAGCTGTCTAGAGAATGCTGCTGATGAGAGATAAGGAGGCAGAGAGGGACATCAGGCGTGGCCGAAAGGAGGGCGTGAGTGCACATAAAGGTAAGAGAGGTGAAATGAGCCCTGTACAAGCATACTGCATAAGAGGCACAAATGGGTGCTGAGAGTGGGAGGTGTAGGCAGTCAAAGGGAGCCAGAGAGGGCAAGGGAGGGAGTGGGGGCGCACAGGTTGTGAATGCAGAGCAGGATGGCCAGGCTGGAACGACAGAGGCTCCCTGAGGCACAGCCACAGAGCCCGTCACACAGACACGTGCACATGCCCACACACAGAAGCTGGTGGGCTGCGCTCGCTGGATTCTTCCAAATGTGCGTTCCCATGGCAGCACGCTTTCCTTTGCCCTGGCCACAACTGGGGGGACTAACAGAGGGGGGCAGGCACAACCAACAGTTTGTTTCTCTGCTCCCCACCTTCCTTCACAGAAAGAAATGCTACTGCAACACTGCATTCTTTAATTCTGGGTTCTTTGTTTTGTTTTATTCTTGTGTTTTTTCTTTTAAAAGCTCAGGATGTAAGAGGCTTTACTGGTTTGTTTCTTGTTTCTGTTTTTTTTTAGATGCAGCCAGCCGTCTCCCTAGCATCCTAAGCATCCTTCCCAGGCACGGAAAGACAATGTTCCCTAAGCCCAAAAGTTCCTGGCACCGTGCACAGATGAATAAGACGTACCCGAGGGTGCTCAACCCACATCGGTATAAGGGAGTGAACTGCACGCCCCCAGCCCCCTTGCTCCTGCTCTGGGAAACTTCGACCTGCCTCATGCTGGCCCGTCTTCCTGGCATATTGATTCTGTATGCTCCCTTAGGACAATTCCCTATAGTTGGGAAGGTCTCTTCTAGGGCTGGCTGGGCCTGGTCTCAGGGCTCCAACTGAACAATCAAACAAGGGTTCCCATGTGCACTCATATGTCCTGAACTGATGCAGAACAGGATGGTGTTCAGAGGCTCTGCATTAAAGCCAGAAAGGCTTCCTAGAGGAGGCAAAGTGGGAACTGACTTGGGAAGAAGAAGAGAGGCTCAAGCTGGCAAAAAATGTGAGTAAAGCACAGCCAGTAGAGGAAGTTCGGGCATGAGAGACATGGGAGGATTAGCAGGATACCCAGGGGACAGGAAGGACATCAGGTTAAATGAGGCTCAGGGCCATAAAGAAGAAAAGATTGGATTGGGCTCTACTGGAGTAGAGAGTACACAATAGAGGGCTGTGGGCCACATCCTGGAGCCAGGCTATGGGCAGCAGAAGTCGGGGGCCTAGCGCTGCCCAGTGGCCCTCAGGACCTCCACACAGGGTCCTTCCACATGTTTAGCAAGCACTCCGATCCAAGTGTATGAAGGCTTTGGAGGTTGTCTTACCTATACCTCTCCCCATACCAAAATTGCTGCCACGTGATCCTGCCAAGGGGCTGTTCAGCCTGGGCTTCAGCATCTTCAGTGACAGGGGTTCACTACCTGATAAGATATGTAAGCACCTAACACTAATGGGGAAAGGCAGCTTCTCAGTCAATGTCATCTCACAGCAACAACAACAAAACCCTAGTATCACTACTACTACTACCACTAATACTAATAATAATAATGAGGAGTGCATTTAGAACCTCACATACTTCCATCCCATACTCTGCCCTCACCTCCTAACTCTACACTCTGAATCATCAGTCTCTCACCTTCCCTCTCAATAGGCAGGAGACACCTGCTGCTTGGTTTCTCCTCCCCAATGCCCTCCTCTCTCTCCCTTCTCTCCATTTGGTCTGTTGCCCATCAGCCAGGCCAGCGGCAGCTCTGGAGTGAAACCATATACTGTGGGACGGTATTCGCTCTTCCCCTGTGATCCTACCACCATCCCTTGTAGACCATCAGGATCATCCAGAAACAAATGCTCAGTCCACAAGGCACAAGCACTTGGGTGTGTTTCTTTAAATGTGATCCTTGGTGGGGCATTGCCCTCACGCTGGCCCCTGCTGGCGATTCTATAATGGAGGCCTACGACGGAGCCCAGGAACTGGCAGCCACAGCGACGCTGGTGCCCTTGTGGCTTGCCTTCAACTACATCACAGGCCACCAAACTCTTCTTAAAGGTCCAGAGAGTAACTATCTTAAAGTTATGGCCATCTGGGCTCTGAGGAAACCACTCAACTCTGCTGCAGCAGGCTGAATAGCGGTCCCCCAAAATATCAGGTCCTAATCCCTGGAACCCGTAAATGTTAGCTTATTTGGAAAAAAAAGAGTCTACACATGTGACTATTCAAGGATTCTGAGATGGGAAGATATCCTGGGTTATATGAGCAGACCCTAAATGCAGTTACAGGTATCCTCGTTAGAGGCAGGCAGAGAGGGATCTGACGCAGACAGGAGAGGGAAAGGCAATGGGACCGCAGTGGCAGAAATGGGAGTGACGTGGCCACAAACCGAGGAATGCCGGCAGCCACCGGAAGTTGCAAGAGGCAAGAGGCGAGTTCTCCCCTAAGAACCTCTGGAAATAGCACAGCCCTGCTGACACCGTGGTTTCAGACCAGTAAACTGCTTCTGGATTTCTGGCCCCCAGAACCATGAGTGTATACATTTCTGCTGCTGTACGCTACCAAATCTGTGGTAACTTTTATAGCAGCAATAGGACATGAATACTACAAACGCACATGGCTGTGTTCCAATCAAATTTTACTTAGGAAAACAGGTGGCCGGTTCACGGGCTATAGTTTGCTGGCCCCTGAATCAGACATTAAAAGATGCAGGTGCACAAGATGGGTTGGAGAGAAAAGCCACAAATACATATTTGGAATTCATTACTCAGAAAAATAAATAAATAAGATATAAACACTCAACTGAGTTCCCTTTGCCAGGAAGGAGCGATAAAGAGGAGCCAGAAAAAATTTTCATCTCCTATCCATGATCTGCTCAGAGATGAACCCAAATAAAACCTCTGGGAATGTGTGAGGTAAACAGACTCCTCCAACTGGAGCAGCTGCCATAGGGACCTCAGTGGCCCATGAGGGATCTGACTGGCCGGGGAGGGGGTGGTGAGGTCAGGTGTATGGGTGGGGGCTGTGAGGTGAGGGGCACCCACCCGTGGTTGTGAGTGTCCTTCAGAGCACCCAGCTGGGATCAGGGCTCTCTCTCCTCTGTCTGCCTGCCTCTGGAGCAAGGATGCAGCCAGCCATGCCGAGTGCCGCCCCACCCCCACTTCCCTCTCACACACCAAGGAGCGACTGCCTACATGCATGTGTGCACACACTCTCCCAGGTCCCCTACAGAGCAAAGTTCCACAGACACTCACCAGACACGAAGGCCACTTTTTCCTTTAGGATGGGAAGGACATCAGAAGCTTTCAAACCATCATTCCGAAAAGACCCTGTGGGACGACAAAAGAGAAGGAATCAGGATGAAAGAGGGCAGATGGCTGAATCCCTGGGTACATCCCTCAGCAGCCCAACCCCATCATGCGCCAGAAAGCTGTGCCTTGTTCAGGTGCTACAGCCCAGCCCAATGGAGCCGATGGAACGGGAGAAGGTCCGCAACATAAAGGACACTGCCACATGATGCCAGGCCACAGGGGTGTCCCTTCCAGGGACAGGACAATCCAAGTTGCCCCCACCACACACGCAAAGCTCCGCGCCTTGCAGGCAACAGCCACGGCCCTGCTGCTGTGGGCAACTTGACGATGGGGCTTTTTAAAAGCCACTTTTGTACCTCTTTGCCTAGCATGGTGTGTGGTACACAGTAAGCACTCAGGAAACATCAATGGAACAGGTTAATTAATATCAGAATGGACCACAATGCCCTAAATAATTGTTTTTGCCTTTCCTCTACCTGGCACAGTGACTCTTAGTTTTCATTGTACAAACTGTAAAAGTAAACCACAATATCCCCAAGTGGGAAGCAAAACTGAATGCAATAACCCTTCTTCCTCCTCCCCCTCAATGTCACCCTCACCAGTCCACAACAGACAGCAGGTGGGGAGACACCAATCTCCTGGGAAGGAAATGCACTCCCTTCTTCAGCAACTCATTCTCTGCCTAAATTTCGCTTCTCAGCTGCAAAGTCCCTTCTGGGGTCCAGCTGACTTCCTGTTAGGGGGTTGAAGGCAGAGGCCTGGGGCTGACATAGAATGGAAAATAATGGTGTGCCTGGAGAAACAATAGCCTCAAAGGACAACCCAGCCCGGTGTGAGTACAAGGCACGTGGGAAGAGAAGCCTCCGCATGCACACGCAAAACAGCAGGCCAGCCCACTGCGCCCTTCCATTTAGCCCAAGCACCCCACAAAGACTCTCGGGGAGAGCCAGCCCATGCCCTGTGAGCCATAACTGGAATCTCTGCTGTGGATCACCACTAGGGACATCATACACACAGATGCCTGGAGAGAGGAGCTTCTGTGTCAGCTCAGTGAAACAGAACCGGAGACCACAGGCAACCACTCTAGTGCCTTTTTCCACTTGGCTTACTCCCTTGTGGTCCCAATATGACAATGTGCAGAGAAATGTACTGGGATGATGGTCCCCGCTCAGGGCTGTCTCAACCTCTAAACCCTGATTGCTTCAAGAGACTCTCCTGGGAATTCCGGCAACAGCCCAGGGTTAAGATCACTGGCCTATAGGGAAGGGAAATGAGCCAGTTGCACACTCAACCAAAGAGGAGGAGAGATGTGTCTCCAGAATGCCAGTTTGCCATGGTCAGGGGTTATATCCTAACCCCAAACAAATTCCCAAAGTGCCTCTGATCATTTCACCTATTTCTTCTTCATTTTTCACTACATGAAAACAGTGAGCCTTTTTATTCATCAGTTGTTTCTCTTTACAAGCTGGCCCACAGTACCTAATGCCAGAATAACCCACTACAAGGCTCACTTTGAGAAGAACATGGGCAATAGAAGAAGAAAAACATAACACGACAAAAAACAAACAAACAAAACTCTAACTATAAGCATTGTCTGTATAAATCGTTACACTCTGACCTTATAACCCAACACAGAAAAACTACTAAATCTCACTACTCGAAACCACTTAGGATCCATATAAATTATTACAGAATTTACAAATAGATACATAGGGTTGGGTTTTTTTTTTTCAAATTCATGCAGTAAGATGTTTTGGCTTCCTTGGCATGGAAGGGTCCTACTCGGCTTCACCAACTAGACAAGGATCATCTTTAGCTGATGCATGAGTTGTTTGTATAAAATGATGCCTCTGCATTAAAAGTGCCTGTTTTCACATGTGAAATACATCTCTGTATACATCAGTTTTAAAACACTCTCCTCAATATTGCTACATACGCCTTAATTTCTATAGGAAAAAATTTTAATAAGAAAAGTTAAACTTTAGTCCTGTCTGCTTCCAGATTAGTTCAAAAGGAGCAAGGCCCAAACTGAGATTTGACAAGAATCACATAACCCTCTTTTCTCCAAAACACCTGTCCTATTTTTTCCACTGCTCTTCCTCTCCCCCCACCTCCCTTAAAGTATACAAGATGGCTCTAATTCCAAGAAGTCCCCAGACATTAAGGAAGAGCTTGGAATTTGTTATAATGGAAGCAAAAGGTTCCCTATCCTACCCGCTCATTGCTCCTACCTGTGGAGGGAGAGCAAGGAGGAGCTCTGAATTCCATCCTTCACACCCCACTCATCATGCCCCACCTCTTCCTTCTCCCCTCCAGACTCCAGGGCCTGAGAGAGAGGCAGTGGCTTGTCCCTGCAGCTTGCAACCATTGGCCATTGGCCGGAGTAAATGTCAGTATCTTGGGTTGGGCCGGTCTAAGATTCCTAGGGCTTCCTCTTCTCAGGCCAGAGTCTTCTCCCATCTGGGTTAGACCACAGCTGAACTACCTCCCAGGTTGTGAGCCTACCATAAGAAAACCTAAAGTGTCTAGATTTACAAAATCCTTAACTAGGGGATAATTGTTTCCAACAACAACAAGATTTTTCACATTATAAAAAAATTTGCTCCAGGGTCTCTTTAAATAAAGGTTGCCTTAATGGTTTGAATTAGTTTTTCATTTGCCAAAAATTGAATTACAAACAACTTTTCAACAATATATGCATTATGTAAAGCCAAGTAGAGCTAAACTAATTAGCCCAGCAGCTCAGAAGTCAGCGACCTTGAGTAGAAAACCTATTTGCACTGGCTGAGGGTTCTATGTATCAATTCCCACAGGCCCTTGTGAAGCCAGCTGTCGGGATCTATAATAAAGGAGAAGTCCATTGAACACTAACTCAAACAGGACCAATGAAATAGCAACATGTTTTCACTATCAGGTACATGTCTGGGCAGCCTCATAGAAAATGTTCAATAAATATTTGATGAAAGGATAAAGAAATGAATGAAATGGTAACCCTGTCTCAAGTGACATGCGCAAGGTCAGTGGCCTCATCTGTCACACCAAGGGCTGGTGATCTGCGTAGATGATCGCCAGGTCCCACTCAGCTCTGATAGTCTGAGACTTTTTAAACCTTTTCTTCATATTTATTGGCCTTTAAGATCCTCAGATTATCAGATCAATATGCTTTGAGAGAAAGTACTGGAAACAAACTCCCTAACAAGGTTCAGTGTGCTTTGGGAAGATAAAACAACTCTTCCCTGGCCTCCCAGTGTCTTCTTTTCCAGGAATCAGCTTAGGGATCGGGATGCCCAAGACACATCACCCCATTTTGTGGACAGCCCAAGTTACCGAAATGGAAGGCTAGTGATGGAAGAACTTCTGTGAGGCACACATACCTTGGAAGAGGCAGGCAGACCTGACCTGCAACTGCTATCTCTGAACAAGGTATATTTGATAATAGCACTATTACACTACAAACTCTAGACCAACTGTAGATCAGCTTCCCCCTTTAAAAGAAACAGGTGAAACAGTAGATCCCTTGCTAGCTCTAAAGAAAGCCTGAGAAGAAATAAAAGCCCCTGTGCCCTTTGGAGTTACTGTAGGGAAAAAAAAAAAAAGGAAGAACCAGAGGGCACCCTCAGGGACCTGACCCAATGTGAGTTTCCTGCTTTCTCTTAAGGACAAAGGCATGCTTTGCTGGCATTCAGCACTAATCCCACCCCATTTGTGTCCTGCTCCTGTCAGAATTACAAGCCTGCTGTTCGATTAATTAGCAAAGTTGAAATGCTCCGCATCTATTAGGGAAGTAAAAATTACCACCGCCACCTCCCCAGGATCTCCAGCATGGAACTTCTGTAAGCCCCACTTTTGCCACCTCCTCACTCCAAATGTGTTATGCTTACATTGCTGCTGCCCGTTCCCCTTCACCTTTTCCCAGCCAGCCTTCCCCATGTGGGAAAGTGCCCAGCTTCCTCACCCTGGCTCCCAGCCCCTGCAACGCATCCCCCCCAACCGCCCCGCCCCGTGGCAACAGCGGGGCTGGCCCTGGTATCAGAGGCCCTCTGTCTCTTGTTTCCTGGCTCCAGGATGGTGGTGAGTATCCCAGGGCAGCTGTGTGTCTTATGCTCCATGCTAGCCTCCTCCAGAAAGCAGCGCAGATTTCAACAAGCGAAGACACAAGCAGCTAAGTGTTGAGCATTTGGAGGTGCAAGCTGCCAGGGTGCCCATGGATTGCTCTTTATTTCCTTTTGGTTCTCAGCCACACCCCCTTAACGTGCACTTACTGAGAAGTTACTGTGTATTTCAATATTATCTCATTGCCTCGAGTGGGCCTGACCCTGTGTGACCACTGCTCAGGTAGGTCTCTGCCTCCTCTTTCCACTCCATCCCTGTGTGTCCAGCATGGAAGCCTTGATCAAAGTTGCCCCGAATCACTGGCGGATCTGCTGCAAAGGAGACATCTGGTTTACAGTTGAGAGTTCCAAGAGCTCATGAGGTCGAGCTATAGTTTGGGTATAAGAGGGACTGTTTCCTATTCCCAGAGTCATTCTTCCACCAATTCTTCACTGAGCACCTATTATGTGCTAGGCCTTATGTTAAGTGTGATGGTACTTAGACAAATAAGTAAGGGACCCCACTCTCCAGGGGGCTTGCAGGCAGTGATAGACAAGTATGCAGATAGGACAGTGAGCTGTTATCAGAGACAGGACATCACCTGTACAGAATGCAAGGGAACTCAAAGGGAAGGTGAGTCCTAAAGCCTTGCTACTCAAAGTAACAAGCCTCACCTACCAGCTAGAACCTTGCTAGAGATGCAAAATCTAGGCCCCACCCCAGACCTACAGAATCAGAACCTGCATTTTAACAAGAAATCCCAGTGATTCCTATGCACGGTGCATTTGTGGAAGATCTATACACCAACATATGTCTTTCTATTCCAGAGCTGCCTAGAGACAGAGATAGATAAAAGCATCCTTTAGCCTAGTCTAAATAGAACCTCTCACATCTGATGTAGTGCTGTTCATCACCCCTCCCACCTC